TGCGCCACACGGAGGAAAAGGGTCGTCTTTTCATCTCCGAATTCTCCAATGTCATTTAGAACATCCGCGGTCTCCCACGGCACAATTCAGAAGAATTACAATTAATTGTACAGCCAATAATTAAGCGCTCTCTGTCCGCAAGGCACAAAACTGATCCGGAAGCAGTTGTGCCAACTTTCGGGCATGAAATCGCGTATCAACTGGTCGGGATGACCTTTTAAAACAATGTCGCGGTTACGACCGCTCTCAAGGATCCCCACAATATAATCCAGACCGGAATTAAAGCTCGAATCTCTGTCCGCCTGCCACGTGTGAAACTTTCTGTGGTTTTCTTCAGTCACTTATGTTAAATCCTGGGATAGCGCACGACCATTTCCTTCGACATCCTTTCCAATCCACACCATTCACAATCATCCACGGCCGCGAACTCGATGACCGCTTGGTGTCTTCTGGGCTGTAGCGACGTTTCAGAGGTACTTACTGCCTACTGACAAAACCGACCCACAGTTTCTGCATAATCTCTGGCGCCCATGCACTCAGGCTCTGAACGTGACCACTTGGAGCATCAGTGTGTAATGCATGTGGGCCGAGACGTTCGGTGTTCTGGACCACAGACTCTCGCCGCTTCCTCAATTTGTTCTTCTAATTATCTTCGCGCTGCCGAGAGGTGAGCGCGTCTCCAGGAAAACTGGAGGTCGGCCAAACGGGGGCCGCTGACCCGGGGGGCAAGGTGCCAGCGAGATCTGACCCAGCAGCCCGACGCGTCCCACCAACAACGCGGTCAGCCTCACGTTCCGGCCGCTTTATCCCAGGGTGGGGCTCCAGACGAGGTCTGAACACGGCGGGGAGGGGGGGGCAGAACAATTCCCTCCCCTGTCAAGAATCGAAGCAGGTGACGGCGATGAGCGTCCGTTCTAACCTGCTGTACCGTGTTCGAGCCCCGATCTCGGCTTTAAATTCTTCTTTTTTATTCTTACTGAGACAAATTATCACTACACGTAGTTAGTTAGTTAGTTAGTTAGTTAGTTAGTACAACGAGTATCTTGTTATTTACGGGTTTTGTCTAAAAATCAAGAATACTCGATTTCGACCCGTATCGCGCATTTTCTCAAAAAACGGCTTGTCGTTCGAAAAACACGTGCGTCTCTCTACGAAACACATTTTGAATATAAAGAGAGGTCATCCGACCGCCTTGCATCGTCGATCAGAAGGTAGTCGATTAAATTCATGTCTCAGACTCTTTTGAACGCGGCCATGAAGTTCCGTTTCCCGTGAGTAGCCGATGGTGGCCAACGATCAGCTTCTCTACAAGGGCTGTGCCCCAAAGAGTCAGTCATTTCGAAAGAACTCCCGTCAGTGCGTCCACACGAATTAATCCGAGTACAGCAGCGAACAGCTCAATGATCCACTTCACCTTGAAGTGACCTGAGAAAGTCGTGGGTTTGAAACCTGGCGACCTGCAGTGAAGGAGGGGCCTTACGAACACATGATCAGCCCACGACGGCTTCCTTCCAAATCCCTTCATTCCACCCCATTCTTATTGTATCAGTTACAAGAGAGTCGTTCAACAAACTGCGACAGATTTGCGAAATTTCGGGTTTTTACAGCGAAGCGTTAGGAAGATGCCGTCTCTGGGTTGCAGCGCCGCGTAGTCTGGCAGAATTTTATCGACGTTTCGGAGGTCCTTGCTGCCTCCATCACCAAGGCGATTGTCCTGATGATGGAGGCAGTGCGTGCCTCTGAGACTTCGGTCAGACTACGCGGCGCTGTGCAGCCCAGAAGACGTCCATCTTCAACAGGACGCCCGAAACCACCACAACAACAACAACAACAACGCGAGACGAGGACGTCGCTTCGTCGGACATACCTGTCTTCAGCTGCAGGAAGACGACGCGTGGCTCCATGCCGCCGACCAGAGACCCGGCTTCGCGTCCTCGATGAGCCGGTCACTGCCAGACTACTGGCCGATCTACGCGCCCGACTCCAGTCGATCGGCCACTGTCGGGCACACTCGGCTGTGCTCGGCTCTAAAGTACCAAGGGTCATTGAATGACTTGGCAGCTGCAGACCAGGCCAGCGCCTCGCGGTTCAACTCAGGCACCACCCGGATTGCCAGAACTCGCACAAGTCGTCATATACGAGAGAGTGTTCCAAGTCCGGCCACGACCACTTCCTTGCACATTAATCCCAATACAATATTCATTAATCATCGCACACAAACACCCCAGAGACTGACCAATTACGCGGAACTTTCCTGCGTTCTTGGAAATGACAATCCAAGACAAGACCGGAGACAGCAATGCGTTGTCTTCTGTCGTCGTAGCCCCCTGAGGCCCGAAGCTGATCAATTATGTACAAGAATCCAGTCCGTACCGCGAAGAAAACACAACACTTCACCATTACAAAGATCGACTGGTTAACCCGTGAAGCCGAAGATCGTCTAAATATTATTTAAGAATACGGCCCGTACCGCGAAGAAAACACCGCACTTCACCATTACGAAGATCGACTGGTTAACGCTGTTTAAGGAAATATCGCTGTTTGCATGACGACAATAGTTAATGCAAAATTAAGATTACTGATCGTTGAAGCAGGTGGTACGTATAGTTACCACTGGGCGTTCAATTCACGAGTCACGTTACTGATCACTGACGGGGAGCACGTCTTATAAAGGAAATGGGATTTTGATGGAAGCCACGAAGGCAGCCAGAGCAAAGTCTGCACCGCACAGATCAATCAAAACCTGTTTGAAGAAGTCGTCTGCCACACTTCGTGACGGCTCCCCAGCTCAAACAGACTAAGCGGAGGGGATGCTTTGTTTCCTCTGCTTTTGAACTCTGCTGTACAAAGGGCCTTGCCGGCGCCTTGTTCGAGGACGACGGCTTCATATGTGAAGGCCCATAAACGGAGTAATTAAGATCGATCTTGATTCGAAGGTGTGAGTGAAGGAAGTGGATAAAAGTAGGTCACGGCATTGTCTAGTGGCGCGCTCTTGCGCATGTCGGCAGAGTCTTGAATATCAGTTACGCAAGAGGAACCCTGTCCCTTTCAAGTCGGCAAACACGACTCTAAAAGGGCCATGAAACTAAACGCAGATTCTTAGAATACGTAGCAACATCTACGGGTCAACCTCACTTTAATATTATCCTCGTGGAAGGTCAGAGCGAGCACGGCATGTCGCAATGCCAGGGTTCGACAAATCGCACAAGGGGCAACGACACTTGTTCTGGAAGTCACTTGATCGAACCTCGGATGGGACATCGTGGCTGGATTCTGGTTCCTGTAGGAATCTTCGGGAAAATTCCACCTGATACCTAATCGCAACAGTTGATACAGCGCCTCACGGCCAACCGGTGAAGCAACCAGAATGGAGATGCGACGCTGTCGGGAGTCGAACGAGTGACCTTGAGACGGCGGGCCGAGCCACTTAACATCGTCCGAAGGTTAAAAACGGAGCCGATCGGAATAACAGCGGCTTACACCGTCTGCCTCAGTCAATACGATATATTTCGTGTCTGTTCAATGACGCTGTATCAGGTAAAACGATGGAATCTGAAAAATTACTCATCTTGAGGAGCTGACAGTCGCCTTATATTGACACTGAAGGTTCATTACCCTGTTCACAAGAGCCTACCACTGGTCCCTATCCTGAGCCACATGAATCCAATCCTACCTTCCAAAGATCCACTCATGTATTATCACCCCCGAGCGCCCCTGAGTCTTTCAAGAAGTCTCCTCCTCCCTTCCCTAATAATATTTTATGAGCGGCGCAGATAACGAAGCTCCTCTTTGCGCAGTTTTCTCCAGCTTCTTCATCCCTCTCGGGTCCAGATATTCTCCCCCTCACAGTGTAGACGAACAGCACACAACTCCGACCACGGCCTTCGCGTGGCCCGAAAGCCGCCGACACTCCCCCGGACGACAACGCTTATTCAAACGTCTCTTCAGACACTTGTGGCCTGCGGGCTAGAGTCAGGGC